CGCCTCCCGCTGCGGCGCCACTACCGGAACGGCGGACCCAGTCGTGCAGAAAACAACAACAAAACACAAATTTTCAATTTTGAACGTGTTTTTTTAAATTTTTTTTCCGCTGCGGCTCTAAGTCTTGGAAAATATAACACAAATATCAATTTTTAAAATTCTTTTATGCTTAACTTTATCATTTTGTAATTTCTTCAGTTATGCCTTTTAACTGTACAACTTTTTAAAAACTCGAGGTTATCTGAATATTTAAAAAAAATGACCTAAAAATATTTGGCGTGGTTGCTGATTGGTTGCAGGCTGATTGGTTGCCTTGAAAGAAGGCCATAAGAGTAAGTTAACCTTTTTCCGAGCACACTTTTCCCATTTCCAGAGTGACGAGCGTCTCGAATGTTAATGAGCTGCTCATCGATATGACTACGCGTGCGTTGCCACAGTCAACTCTAAATTTTGTGATTTATTTTCCCCAATAAGGAACGTTGTGTGCTAAGTCAGTTCGATGTTGCTAGCAAGCCTGGTCGTCCCTCTGGCGTGCTTCTGCCGTGAGCAGGGACCATCGACGCGGGAGCCACCTGTCATAAATTTGCCACCCGATAGCATTGCGATGCGAGCGTGTCAAAGGTGGTGCCCGTCCACCGTAAACTGGACGCGTGGCCGTGGGACGCGAAGCGAAACCGTGGAATGCAAGCCCCAGTACTAATTCGAAATCTTGATGAAAAAGAGTTACTTTTTTTTTCAAGGTGCACCGTATGTTTCAACACGTATGTAACACCTATAAACATGTCCAACAAATTTAATTGACAAAGTCGTTTCTATGAGTCAAAATCTAAATTTCTAAGCAAATTCATTTCTGAAATTTAGATATTGCATCCGAATACAATTAAAAAACTTCCCTGCCCTAGCGCACAAAACATCCTTTGTGGACTACAAAACTCCCTCAAAACCTCCCCCTTGCGCATTTTGGTGTAATTATCCCACCTACCTTCACAGGAACTGCCCCTGAGCTCTTTCCAACTTCAATTTGCATCAATTCCCGTTCCGCAAAGCACGCGCCGGAGGCGCCGACTCGCCGCCTCGCTGCGAAAATTGAACAAAATGCATCCGCCTCGTTTGGCTTGATAACGATCCAAAGGTAACGGCAATCTCTGTCGCTAATCTCGCCAATGGCGTGGTAATCACCAATCGCCTTACGCAACCACCCTGTCGTGCATCGCCTGATGCACCTTTTTTTTTTTTTTTTCAGAAAAACATTAACATTTCTGATCTGGCAGACTGTCATCGAGCATGATTGATCCTTTGGAAAGGTTTCTCGAGTGGCGGTCCCCGAATTTGTACTAGCACGCGCCACTCGGGTCCAATATCTAATCTCGTCCACGTCGTGCGCATTCAGTGCAAGATGCACTGCAAGTGCATTTGTACGCGCAGTGGAGCCGGATATTACTTTTCCAAGAAATGCGTCTCTGTCATCCAAACTCTTAGAAGTACTAAAAAAAATTAGCTGCTCGCTGCTCACTGTAGCGTTCTGAATGAACAGGGGCCGAAAAACCCGGTCCGAGTGTCGGACACTTTTGCAACTGACGGTACTTCTACTATCCCGCAACAAACCGCGCGGCCGCTACTACTACTGCACGCGACTGCACGTGTGGAGTGCCGATGACCTCATCGTGTTTTCGCGCGTGTTCTGCCTCGCGGCTCGGCTTGCCGTGTCGGCGAAAACTCCTGCGATCGCGTCACCGTGCACGGCCGTGGCGCGCCTCGGCTTCGGGGATGCGGTTCCAAACATGCCGATAGTGCTGCCTGCCTGGAAAGCATGGAAAGGCAGAGCATCCGAGCCCAGCCGGCCAATGGCGGGCCGCCTCGCCGCTCACACCACCTCGCGCACGCGTGCACGCAGCAACGCAGCCCTGACCGTGGCCACGCGGAGCCGCGGCCCCACAATATGGAGCGCCGACCCGCGGTGACTGGCATTTGTGATGAGTGTGATGAAAACGTCCATGGCGCTGGGAATGGTCATGGTGGTGACATGCTGACGTGATGGTGGAAGTGGTCTCGGTAACATGGTCATGATGGTCACAGTGGTGACATGTTCATGATGGTGAAAACAGTCATGATGGTCATTGGTGACATGTTCATGATGGTGAAAACAGTCATGATGGAGAAATGATTATGGTGATGAAAAATCACCAAGATGATGGTTAAAAGATGATGGCCCAAGATATGGTCATGAGGATCACCAAGATGGTAAAATAATCACAACGAAGATGAACATCACGATCAAAAACGATGATCAAAATTTCACGTCAGTGATCCTGTTGTCACAATGATAATGGTACGCGAGTAACCGCACACCACAGCGACCGCCAACAGCGACCATGACGCCCATAAAGACCCGAAGACGACATAATGACCATACAGAAACGACCGCAGCCGGCGCACCAACAGTAGGGTTGACCCCGCCTCGCTGGAGGCTGCCTCCCAGGGGCAGGTGCGAGGGGTACGTAACTCTCGAAAATCGTGTACAGCGACTGTAAAAGTCTTCAGTCAATTTGACTGTTTTGACTGTAATTGACTGTAGATGACTGCAAAACAGTCTAGTTCTGCTTGGATGGAAGTCGACTTTTTGACTGTAAAATGACTGTGTTGATTGTAGGATGACTGCTTTGAGTGTAGAATGGTTGTTTTAACAGTACAATGGTTGTTTGGCATGTATTCTTGAAAAAGAAATGACTTTTTGATAGGAATAAAAAAAAAAGAAAGAAGAAAGTTGCAGTCCGTGCACTGCAAGACCCTACTTTGAAATATTTCATTGGCCGATGCGGGGCACATAAAAGCCTGGTGCTCTCAATGTGGGCATAGATACACACAGCAAAAAGTGGAATTCAACCAATTTTACTATTTGTACAGCATTCATTAGTAGGTGTCCTTCGTGTCTCCCATGGGATATACGTATTTAGAAGAAATATAATACAAAATCATAAAATCTTGATCCTTTTTCACCAAAAAAATAATTTTACAAAGTGCTTTCAACATGTATGAGCCTCCTGAATGTGCAAATTTCGACTGTAATTGACTGCTTTGACAGTAGTGACTGCCAATTGATTGAGTGACTGTTTTTGTGACTGTTTTGGAGGCGTACAGTGACTGTTCTGAGTTACGTACCCCTCGGCCAATTGATTGAGTGACTGTTTTTGTGACTGTTTTGGAGGCGTACAGTGACTGTTCTGAGTTACGTACCCCTCGGGCAGGGTTCCCCTC